CATCAAGTTATAGGGTGTTATGAGATCTTTTATTTTGTCGAGCTCACCACCTTCTAAAGTCTTGTCCATTTTCCTTTCAAAATCTTCAAGATAAAATCCACCGACAATCATGCTAGATTTGATATATAGTTCCTATGTCTTGCAGTTTATGACAATATAACGTACACTGTATGATGGCATGATCCGAAAGTGAAATAGGCGTATTTCAAGACGCAGCCGGTTGCCCTCTCTTCGTAATTCCCAAACTCCATATTTGACAATTCATCGTATGTTAACCCTCTTGAACCATTCTTAGTTCTTCACTTGAAATTTCCGTATTACTTTTTGTTAAACAACGTTATACATATTTGTTTTGACTATGGGCACAAAATGAAGAAAATGAAGAAACAAAAAACAAGAAACTAAAGGAAAGTACTAAGGTCTGCTGTGCTCCTTTCAAACTGGGTACAAATACATGTGTTTAGCTAAAAAGTTTCTTTAGACTTGAAAGCAACTTAGTGACAAGACAAAAAGGTTTTGATTTCCTACTTTCTTCAACCTTAATTGAATAAACTAGATAAGTCAATCAACTTTATTTTAAGAGGGTAAACACGTGACAGCGAAGAACTGATTAACTTGTGGCCCTCATACTCACTCTCCACTACCTCTACATTAAGTATTTTAGCACACAACACTCCTCACATGTTGATTTTTACTGAGGGTAAAGAACAACTCATCAAACAAACTCAAACTCACATATGTTCACAGCGGCCAGCAGCTTAACCACTATGCCACCCGTGCCACCCATTTTTTTTCGGGGGGGGGGGGGGGGCAATTTCTATGCAAAAAGAAAAACAAATGAAAGTGTTCACCTTCTCTGTCTTTCATGGTGAGAGGGTCGCCTTCTTTTTCTGTGACAAAAACAGTCAATAAATCAAATAAGCAAGCGAACAACAATCAATTGACCACCCAACCAACAGCACATCTACCCAATCAAGCAACCACCACCTAAAGAGGGTTGGGTTGGGTGGATTTCAATCCACCCCTAATTTTGATCCCAAATTCTATTTATAGGAAAATTTATTGAATGACGAGTGATTTCTCGACCAATCAGTAACAAATCCACCCAGCCAACCAACCAATCAAGGAAACAAGCAATCACCCAAACAATACCCCGTCCAACCAACCAACCAAGTAAACACCACCCAAGGAAATAAGCGACAATAATCATTATTTGGAAATATCAAAATTACACATACCTCCAGAATCAATAGCATCCAGATCTTCCACATCCTTAATTAATCATATAGATAACATTAGATTATCTTTATTCATGCAATAATCAATACAAATATTTTACAATTATAAAAAGGGGCAAAATATCAACTAATAATATAATTAATAGAATAAAATAAGAATACTACAATCAAAACTGTTGATATGACACCTTATATTTTTACTCGTTTGCTTAAAACAATAACACAGGTCCTCAGATCGTTTGGTGGAGGTGTTTTCCACTGGAGATCGTTCTGTAAAATCTCAATGTATCCCTCAAAACTTCCCTATATAATTTATGTGGGAGGATCTTTCTTATGAATATCAAATACTAACCTCTCTCTTTACTCTTGGCTCCCGAACATGTTTCTGCGTCAAAATCAATGAACTGGCAAATTAGGCATAGCAACAACTTCCAGTATAGTGTCAATTTGTTTGTGCCTTTATTTCCCGTTTTTTTTTAGGAACTCAAGGACAAACATTGAACGTTCTATTTCCCCCATCATGATGGAAAACAATGTGAGATGCAAAAATCAACATCACATGCATTCATAACTGAATTCCCGTGATTTGGACATTTTTATCACACATTATGTTATGAATCTGAAATACTAACCTCTATCAATGGCACGCACATCTGATTTAGCGGAAGCTAAAATGTTAAATTTATGAAAAATCAATTATTAATACATAACACTGATCTTTTCTCAAATATCTGCTATTAANGGCAAAAAGAAAAACAAATGAAAGTGTTCACCTTCTCTGTGTTTTTTTATACTGAGCTGGTCGCCGTCTTTTTCTGTGACAAAAACAGTCAATAAATCAAATAAACAAGCGAACAACAATCAATTGACCACCCAACCAACAGCACATCTACTCAATCAAGCAACCTCCACCTAAAGAGGGTTGGTTTGGGTGGATTTCAATCCACCCCTAATTTTGATCCCAAATTCTATTTACAGGTAAATTTATTGAATGACGAGTGATTTCTCGAACAATCAGTAACAAATCCACCCAGCCAACCAAGGAAACGAGCAATTGCCCAAGCAATATACCGTCCAACCAACCAAGTAAACACCACCCAAGGAAATATGTGACAATAATTCTTATTTGGAAATATCAAAATTACACATACCTCCAGAATCAATAGCATCCAGATCTACCCGATCATGTTTCTGCGTCAAAATCAATGAACTGGCAAATTAGGCATAGCAACAACTTCCAGTATAGTGTCAATTTGTTTGTGCCTTTATTTCCCGTTTTTTTTAGGAACTCAAGGACAAACATTGAACGTTCTATTTCCCCCATCATGATGGAAAACAATGTGAGATGCAAAAATCAACATCACATGCATTCATAACTGAATTCCCGTGATTTGGACATTTTTRTCACACATTATGTTATGAATCTGAAATACTAACCTCTATCAATGGCACGCACATCTGATTTAGCGGAAGCTAAAATGTTAAATTTATGAAAAATCAATTATTAATACATAACACTGATCTTTTCTCAAATATCTGCTATTAATAGCAAAAGATATATAGGATTTGTTTCGGGCAATAAGAAATGTATAAATCCGTCTTGAAGAAACACTAATAATGTCCATCGATTTATGAATTACTGTCTACCGAGTAGAGTGATTTTAATAAACCCGTACTGTGTAACAAACTCAACACAAAAAAAAGACACTAAAAAACATGCTCAATAAAGAGTATTATCAAATTCATTAATAATTCATAAGGTGAACACAATGGAAAATCATTGCCGTGACCGCATCTTTTATATGAGCAAGAGATTTGTCCTGATTTGCATTTGACTTTAACATCGATTTTCYCTTACAAATGATATTTTATCCTGAAGTTTTTTTCGAAATATGCTTTACCTTATGTTGGAATTTGATAAGCAATATAAAATATGAGCGGGAGACCTTTATGGGCTATAAAACTGCTCGCTTGCAGCTCGCAGTTTTAAATGCCCATAAAGGTCTCCCGCCCTCTATTCAGCGGTCAACCTGCACATAAGATGGTCACCTGGTCTTTCCTCTAGGTGACCGTATAGTAGAGGTTTCGCTGTAGTTACTACTTACTAGATTATCCGCTTCAATTTCAGGTTCCTTAAAATTAATAAAAAAATAAAAACTGTCAATCTGCATTTANAGTCGGACTAGTGTTTTTGAAACTAATTGAGAAAGACAGGATATAACATAAAAATAAATTGAAACATATATTTCTTAATTTTTCTCTATAATAGCCGAACTCACGGTCTAATAAGAGACGTCTAGCTCAAAATATCCAAACTCTCTTGAGACTTTAAATAAACTTGACCTAAAAGGTCATGTAATTAACACCGCCACCGATTTTAAAAGAGTCCTTGACTGATAAAATCAGACGAGACAAAATGTCGCTAAGTGGTATCATGAAATCTAATACGTTGACCTCTCAGGCCAAGAAAATAATTACTTTACAAAGTAAATGATACCTATAAAATCATTAAAGTCGCCTTTTTGTTATTGATAAACAAAGTATCTTCTTGTTCTACTTTAAAATGTTTGCCCACACAAGACTGCCTAACGCTAGAAAGGTCGAAGCCATATAGTCGAAGCACCAGTCGATCTGCACATGCGCGTACTTATGATGCCTAGACTGATGCATTCTGATGAGATCACAGATACCACATTTGTAAACCAATAGTTTTTTTTTTCATACAAAAGCTCAAGTAGCATGTAACATTTAATAGCGATATTCGTAAATCTATACGAATCTATATATACACGAACTTAATGTTGAACTATGCATCAAGCTTTACCGAGATYACCCAACAAGACAAAGACATCATCATTCACGCAAAAAGATCACTACTTCACCACCAAAACTCTCCATGGACAAAACGCGATACGACGTGTTGATTGGCTAGATTTAGTTAATTACCATAATTTATGTTAATGTATGCTAGTCTCATGTTAGTTGAGAACATGGCGGATTAAAGCTCACATCTTGATGACTTAAATCTTTTTATTCTACTTTATCTTGATACTAAACTGTYTATGACCCACGAAATCAACATGGTGGCAGCGGTGGGATAAACTATGGCGACTGGTAATTTTCGGTTWCCGCCTCAACTCGATATAAATTCTGGAAATGTCTCGGAAAACTACAAGCGATGGCGACGACAAGTCGAAATCTATTTAGCCGCATCTGGAGCTACTGAAGAGGAGGGAGACAAGCAGACCGCAATCATCTTGAATTGTGCAGGCCCGGAAGTCTTAGAAGTATACGACAATCTCACATGGGCAAAAGAAGAGGACAAAAATAACCCTAAAGCTGTCTTCGACGCTCTTGAGAAATATTGCAATCCACGTGACAACGAAGTTATGGAATCTCACAGATTTTGGAAGATCGAGTACCAAGAGCCGTTTGACAAATTTTATACGGAACTTCAAACACGAATCACCGCTTGCAATTTCGCCGAGAAGGACCGTATGTTGAGAGACAAGATCGTGTTCACAGTCTCCGGAAAACTACAAGAACTGCTACTCAGGGAAGATGCCCTCACTCTCGAAAAAACTTTAAAAATATGCAGAGCCTTCGAGCAATCGAACAAGCAAGTTAGAGAACTCAAAAACAACTCTAGCAGTGCAAGTACAACGAATTCTTCATCTATAAACTCAAGCTTAAATAAAATCTCAAAGAAACCCAAGTCAAGGTCACGTGATACTCGACAAAGGTCAAGCTCCGAAAGCATGTCAAAGTCAACCACTAGTGACAGTTTGCAATTCAATTGTAAATATTGTGGATATAAGCATGAAAGGAAGCGAGACAAATGCCCAGCCTGGGGTAAAACANACTGAAGAACAAGGCAGGCCTATACAGAGATGATGGATTAATAGCTTGTAGATCTACACCACAAGAGATTGAAAGGATAAAGAAACGAATAACAAAAATCTTTAAAGATAATAAGCTAAAAATAACAATTGACGCAAACAAAAAAATCGTGAACTTCCTTGACGTAACCTTTAACCTAACTAATGGGACTTACAARCCATACATGAAGCCTAACAACAAACTACGTTACGTTCATAATGAAAGTAACCATTCACCCTTACTACTGAAAAACATACCTCTGAATATAAATAAACGATTAAGTAATATTTCATCTAATGAAGACGTTTTTAATGAAACTATTCAACCCTACCAAAAAGCACTGGACGAAAGTGGCTACAACCATAAATTAATCTTTAACCCACAAAGTAATAGAATACAAACTAGAAAAAACCGCAAACGTAATATAACTTGGTACAACCCACCATGGAACTCTAATGTAAAGACAAACCTTGGTAGAAAATTTCTAAATACAGTCAACAAATGCTTCCCAAAAGACCATCCACTACACAAGATCTTCAACAAGAATACTTTAAAGCTAAGCTACTCATGCATGCCCAATGTGAAGAATATAATCGACTCTCATAACAAAAGCAAAATCAAAACTGGAACTACAACCGAGCAACAACAACCAAAGTGCAACTGCAGAAAAATACCTGACTGCCCTCTTAATGGAAACTGCCAACAGACAAACGTAATATACTAAGCGACCGAAACTACTGAAACATCAACTGAAACATACGTAGGATTAGCAACTAACTTCAAAGAAAGATATAGAAACCACCTGACTTCTTGTAAACATTGCAAAAAAAGAAACGTAACAGAACTATCTACGCATATTTGGGAACTGAAAGACAAAAACAGAAAATTCAACCTGACGTGGAAAATAATCAAAAAAGCCAACCATATAATAATAACAAAAAATGTAATTTATGCTTGAACGAAAAGTTTATAATAATCTGTAACAAACACCTATCTTCGCTAAACAACCGCAATGAACTCGCAAGCCCATGCCGCCACAGAAATAAATACACGCTCAAAAACTTCTATGTAA